TCTCTTACCCTTTGAGACAGCATGGAGGGACCTGGAGAGTATCATGCTAAGTGAAATAAGTCAGTCAGAGAAAGATAAGTATCACATGATCACACTCATACGTGGAATCTAAGTAACAAAATAAACTGATGATTGGAGTGGATCCAGAGACGTGGAAGCATGGAACAGAGTGCGGAATCTCGGAGGGAAGGCGGGGAGGATGGGTGGGCGGGAGGTAATCAACCAAGGACCTTGTATGCATATATACATGGCCCATGGACACAGACAATGGGGTGGTGAGGGCCTGGGGCAGGGGGTCGGGGAGGGCTGGAGAGAGTCAATGGAGAGGAAAGGGGGACATATGTAATACTTTCTCCAATAAATAATTATTTTTTTTAAAAGAATGAAAGATAGGAAAACCAAAGAATGGTATGCCACAGAAGCCAAATGGAGGAAGTGAGGTCACATGGTGCAGAATGGTCAAGTTAGCCAACGTCTGAACAAGTGAACACCAAGTTTAGTAACCAAGAGGTCCCTGGCAACTTTGGAGAGGTTCGGTGGAGTTGCAGGGACAGAAGTCTAAGTGCATGGGAAGTGGATATAGATAACTCTTGGGAGTTGTTTTGAAGGAGAGGAAGGAGAAAAACAGAGAGGATGTAGAGTTGAGAGACAGTTTTGTTTTAAATTGGGAGAGAAAAGGACATTTAAAAATGCTGGTGGGGGAAAGTTAGTTGAGGTTACAGGAAAGAGAGTGATTGAAGGGTGCAGAGAGGTCCAGTAGGAGAGTGGGAAGTGAGAGGGTTCAGAGTGAGTCTCAAGCATGAGGAGGGCTCACGTTTCCTCTAAGATGGGAGGAGAGAAAGGAAGGCGGAGTTGGAGATGCAGTAAGTCAGTAGGTTGGTAGGTCCGTGGGAAGCTTCCAGAAGGAGGAAAATATTCAAGATGGCCACTGTGGAAAAAAGGAGGGAAAGCTAATAGCAACCCACAGAGACTGAAGGGCAGTGGTGAGAGCCTGCTGAAGTTGGGGGCACACATATTAAGGCGTTCTCCCAAGATAACCTGTGTGGTTGTGGGCTTTTTCCCAGCATCTCATCCAACCTGAAATAGACATAGAGAAGGCTACTGGTGTGGCTGATCCAGGGCTGAGCTTTGTTGGACAAGGGAGACTAGAAAGCAAGGCAGTGGAAGTGGTGGCCCACAAGAGGAAGGAGGTGAAGCCAGGATGGAATGGACAGATGGGAGGGGTGGGGTTCTCAGTGGAGGGAGAGGGTAGATATGATGGGTGGGAGGGAAGAGTAGGAAGGGCAGTCGAGACTGGTCAGAGGTGAAGGAATTCTGGTCAGGGGCGGCGTCAGGGTGGCTGGATTGGACAGAAGAGCTCATGGGATTAAAACACAAGCTCTCCCAGAAAGTTGGCTGCTTTGAAGGAGAGAAGGACCCCTAGTGGGCTCTATGCCAACCTGTACAGTGAGTGGGAAGTTCACAGATGATGACAAGGAGCAGGGATAGGGTGCAGAGCCCTCTGACATGAGTGTCACAGAAATCAAGATGTCAGGGAACGAAGAAGAAGTTTTCTTACCCAAGTCATGAGGGTTAAGGAGAAAGAGAACCAATGAGCTTCCTCATACATTTTTACAGAAGTATTATCTCAACATCATCTAAAAACGATTAGTTTTATACACACCTACAAGGCAGGATGTCTAGGAATAAAATTAACCAAACAAAAGACATTTCCATATTTCATAGTGAAGTTGTATCAACCAAGTTCAAGGGTAGTGATTCTTACAATTTATATTTTGGTGTAGTGTGTAGATTTAAATATGTGCATATCAACTAGAAAATGTGTTTGAGAATTTTGCAGATTTCATTTCTTAGCAATGATTTGTTTTCTCAGTTTAGAGCATAAATTAGAGAGCTTGTGTTAATTTTTTTCAAATGTAGAGCTTAGAGCTTAATTCATGCCTTTGAAATGCCATGAATTTGAAATGCAGCCATTTTCCTTTCTGCATCCTTGAAAAGGATTACAAGGATTTTATTAGTTTTTCAGATAATCTTGCCAGCACATACAGACTTCCCACAAGGGTCTCCTATCAGTAAGGTTGGATTGTGATTAATGCTGCAAAAGTGTTGTGCGTGAGATATTTAAGACAAGTCAAATAAGCAGCCAACTTTAGGATTTCCCAAACAGCAGCTTAGTTCACAATTATGGGACTTGATATAGAATATGAAATGTGTATCTAAATGTTAATTGAGAAAAATGATCCCCATAATTTCCAAAGAAAAAAAGGATAAACTCAGTTAATTGCTCTGAGCAATTTCTGTCTTTAAAAAAAGGCGATGTTATTTAAAAATATTTCTGTATGGTTGATAAATCTTTGTAATCTTGAAATAAGCCTGCTATTCCAGCCCCTTGGAACAGTGGGTGTTCAGAAAATATTTTGTGAATCAATTCATGAATGTTGTGATAATCTGTCTATGTTTAAAAGTCTTCCTTTCATCTCAAACTTTTATAAATATTCTTATATAAGGGTTGGTTCTTTTAAAACGTAAGTCAGATCATTTCACACCTCTGCTCAAATTTCTCCAGTGGCTTCTTTGTCTCATTGCAAACAAAACCTAAAGCCCTCAGGATGGCCTATAGCAGCGGTTCTCAACCTGTGGGTCGCCAACCTGTGGGTCGCGACCCCTTTGGGGGTTGAACGACCCTTTCACAGGGGTCGCCTAAGACCATCGGAAAACGCATATATAATTACATATTGTTTTTGT